TAAATCAGAAGCAACTGTGTTACAGCTGATGAGTTAAAGTGCCCTTAGTGAGAAGAGAATAGAAACCATCGTTAAGGTAACCTGGCCACATATACCTTTGTTTTAAGCTGGTATATCTCTTCCCAATTAAAAAACAGAATATTTGAGGTTTAAGCTAGCTGGAGTGCATATACATACAGACATTATTCAATCATAGATATCTAGTTGGTTTTGGTGGCAATTATATATTTAACATTTCTTCTGAGCCTATATTTCATCTGAGGTTTTTCAAATTACAGTTTTTATGGTGCCATTTCTCAGGTTCTCCAAGTATTTGCACTATTGTATATGGATATTAAGAAGATAAAGAAATGACAAAACCGTGTAAATAGATCCAAAAAGGAACAAATCTCCAAGTTCCTTATTTCCCAAGTTAGATTTTTTTTTCCTTTGTTGGTTTTTTTTTTTCATTTTTTGCTGAAGGAAGATAAAAGGACCAATTATAACATTTCTATTGTCATCTTAGATTGCAGAAAGTTGCCTACTTTCAAAATCCTGTTTCATAAAGGCTCACAATGTATCTGCTTCCTAGTTGAAGAATCACATTTCAAATGATTGGGGTGGCAGAAACAATGAAAAATGATTTGCCATGTTGTCAGTTTGAATTTTCAGTGTGGCGAGAGAACACCATGTGCAGGATCAGGCCTGACTTTTAATTGAAAATATAAATGTTCTTTCAGAATAGATGTCTGAATTCTACCTTGTAGGTCAAGGAATTGAAAAAGATGAAAAAGAAAAAGGGAAAAACAGTGAGAAAGTGATTTTTAGAAGCTGATCAGCAAAACTATCCACAGCATATTAATTAAAAAAAAAAAAAAAAAGGTTTAAATTTGAGTTATGCATTTAATGGAAGATGTTTTGTTAACATAGTATCACAAGGCCATATATTCATAATACAGAAGAATTAAGATAAAAAGGAGACATGCAAATGATTCCACTGTATTTTCTAGCTCAAGAAGTTTCTTCTGCTTTATTTAACTTGATGAGCAGAGAAACCAAGAATAATGTCACCATTTCAGTTCTTGATATTGCATTTCTTTATGGCTCTATCATGGTGCTAATGGGACAGTGGTATATTTTAGAGAGATTGCTTTAAGCTCCCTGCAGTGTCAATGCAAGCATTAAGCTAATTCTTAGGGTAAGGTACATTTGAGAAGCCTCATCAACTATTAAAGTTGAAATCTGGAATGGAAATGGAGAGTTGCTGCATGAGAGAATGAGACTAAGTATTGTTTGGTAGTAGTAAGATTAAAGTGTTCACCTGGAGAATAAGAGATCTGATGAATATTTAATACAAAATAAATATTCAATACCTGAGGTCAGGTCATCTTTCTGACAGAAGAGAGGCATAACAGCTAATTTCAAAGTACCATCCAACCGAACTGGTCCCACAGATTCTTCATTCTCTGGGCCCAGAATCAATAACTATCAATTTATCACATTCTGACTGAGTCGCAGTTAATATTCTTGCACATGACTGTAACTCAGACAAAATTTTATGATTTAAGCTACTTTCATTCTATGTATAACACCCATGGAGGTTTTAACTATCTTGTTTTATTGCATAACTCTTCCAGCCTAAGAACATGGGCCCATCAGCCAATGTGGTTCAGATGGGGGGAGTCTTAACCTTGCAAAAGAGGGTGGTTAACTCTCAGAGAAGACGCTATGGTCCAATTGCAGATCTTTTCCTATATGGGAATGGATATTTCTAAACAACAATCTGAGAGCACCATCTTAAAGTCACTCTCTAGTGATGGAGGGAGGTACCTCTTACTCATTGAAGGCCACCAGCTATATCATCTCTAATGTGGCCCTGGGCCCAGGCAGCCAAACCCGTAGTAAGGGTGGTGATGGTGAAGATGCTCTCAGGGTCTTTACAAACACTTTCAATTTCCCAGGTAGTCTTCAGAACGAAAAAGAAGTCTCCTCTTCCAATGGAAGATAGCATTAAGGCTGACATCATCAGTGGCCTAGAAGTAATAAGGAATACATTGCTTTGCTCTCTGGTTGACTCGATGGATGAATTATTGGTAGAGCAAACAACAGGTCACTGCTACACGGCAGGGCACAACATAAATGCTGGGAAGAGAGATCCAAACAGCTTCTAACAGAGTACAAATATTTCATTCTTAACTTCCAGTGGAGGAGAGTCCAACGAAGGGAGGAATCTGTATTCCTGAATGTAGCTCTCTAGGGACATTTGTGCAGCCCCACAGTCCTGTGTGAGATTGGTCATTTTAGGCACTCTTTGAAGTTAATGGGAAAAAACACAGCCACAGGGAATGATTTATCTGACCTACCTTAAATATCTGTCTTAAAATGAGATTAATCTCCACTCTGTGGAGGTGCTTCATTCTCTCCATAAAGCTAAACGGAGCTGGGAGAGACTAGTTGAGACTCTAATCTCTAATATTTGGACACACAAAGCCGTGCAGATGAATTCCACCCACACTATCTCATTCGTGTGTAAGATGGGCAGAAAAGCAAAGGAATCCAGCAGGCAGCAACTCCCTCCCAGCAATGAAATGGTCATTCCTTTCAGCAGCCTAAAGCTCCTGCACCAAAATCTCATTCTTTTGCAAGGTAATAGCACGCAGGCTAATACTTAGCTCTCTTCATGGATCAAGCTGTGTACTAAACAGAGCTAGCAGTAGGGTTGGAAATAGTAATAGCACTATATTATTTTCACATAATCCGCTTGCTCCACAAGCTGATTATGAATCATTTCACGTCCAAAGACAACATAAGTGTGTGTGCTTATTTCTATGCTGACTTTAGCTTGACTCCAGCTGCTGGATTTTTATTTATTTAGTTTGCTGTGCAGCCTGAATCCATCTCTGCTCTCCGTGTGTGATGTAGTGCAGGTGCACTGCAAAATCTTGCTGCACCGAACAACAGGGCAAAGCCAGCCAGGTGCTTTACAGATGTGATGGGTCACCCACCTACAGACTACCAATATTGTGCAGCCAGTAGTGCTACATGGCGCCTGATTTTCCTTGTGTGAGACATGTAAAAGCTCAATTACCCCCAACTTGTTCACGATTCTTGCGGAAGAGCAAGGATAAAAGCATCATGATTGCTTCCTGAATTACAAGTTGCTACGATTTCATCCTGTTTCAGGCAATTTGCTTTAGCTTCAGGGGTCTCGTCCTGTTGTGAATTTTATGTTGCCCTTGGATCCTTCCTCCAACGTATCTTTGCAGCAAACTGCTTCAGGAGAGAGAGATTTTTGGCATCGAAACTCAGCTAAGGGATAGAGGAACTGCTGCACTTTGTTTGACAGCACTACACCAACTTTGATTAAAACACTAAGAAAACTTCTCCTTTTCTTCTCCTTGGGGACACAAGGTTTGAAGGGATCATGCAGAGCTGTCTCCTAGCTAACACAATCCCTCTTTTCTTAGGAGAAGCTGGACAGATGCAAAATAAAGTGTTCTAGGGAAGAAAAATTATCCTACCAGGAGATCTAGGTGCTGATGTGGTACAGGCCCTACAAAAGTGTTTTTGCTCTTTGTTAATGAGAAACAATCATTCTTGGAGATAAATGTACAGATTATTTCTCTCTTTTCCTTAAATTAGTCTCAAAGGTCTGATAGGTCACTAATGGTTAGATAAAGCCAGGGAGCTGCATCAATTGATGAGACGTAGAGAAAGTTGAACACATGCTCCTTTCTCATAGCATCCATACAGGATGGGGGAACTCCAGTTGAAATAAAAGGCAGAACACTGAAAACTGATCATCTGACATCTCTTCATGCAGAGCCCATTTCCATGAAGTATATAAATGAAGCTGAGAATTTAACTAGATTTGAAAGCTAGGCTTTATTTAGAAGAATCTCTCAAATGTTTTAAGGATGTGGGAGACAGGATGTAAGGAAGATAAAGCAACTCAAAAGTTCATAAAGTATATGAGATCTCATAGTTCTTGACATGTGCTAGTAAACAGATGATTTTAAGCTGACCTATTTCACAGCTTCATTGCCCTTTCTCCTAAAGCTTCAGCTTTGTTGTTGTCAGTAGTGTTAGGTGGATGAACCAGTGATCTGATCAAGCATGTGAACTCATAGTCTAAGCCACCAACCAGTAGCTAACTGATTGTAATGAACTGTCTCAATCACAATTAGATTGCAGATGAAAATTATGAAGGGTAAATATATTTGACTAGATGCAAAGGCATGAACCGCATCCTTAAGTTGTGAGAAGAAGCAAATCCCTTAGATAGAGGCATGATGGAACAGTAAAAACATGAATTTGGCATTAAGGAACTCTGGATTTAGTTCTTGACCTGACGCAAATGGATTTGGATGAAAGTCAATTAAGGCATAGGCTGAGCTGTTGTTGTAGACCCAACTCAAGGGATTGACAATGCTACCATCCCCAGCTCCCCATCATTTTTGGCAGGTGGAGATCCATAGCCCCAAGGACTACTTAACACAAAGAGGGAAGACTAAAATGTGGTGGCAGGAGCCTCCAGCTGATACCAGTGATAATACACTTCTGAGGGATGGTAGCAACATCTCATTTGCCACTGTAATTTCCAAAGTGATAATGAATATAAGTTCTTATTGCTTTTATACCTGTTCCCTAATCTTATAAAGTAGGATGATGCTTCATAAATCTACAGGGCGGTCATGAAAATAAACTAATGATGTATTGTACTTACGTGCAGTAGTGGTGTATAAGGTTTAAATGAATGCTTTACATCATATTTGTTCGGAACACAGGTCCAGTCCCCCACCCCATCTCAGCTGAAAAACGATATTTCTTTATCTTGGGGTAGCTTCGTTGCCTTAAGATATGTGACCATGTCCCTCAGATATTTCCACTAATGTAAATGACTCCCAATGGAAGAAAATTCACTGAAATTTCTTTTCTTCCTAATAAATCTCTTCACTGTGACTGGGCCAACCTCTGCTAACCAAAACTGAACACCCTTGTTTTTCTCTCTGCTTTCCCAGTTATTACCCTGTGCTGTATCTTCAAGTGCCGGATTCCCCGGACAAAGAAGGAGATAGAGGCACGATACGCTCAACGGCAAGCAGCCAAAACGTATGCAGACAAACTAGAGACAGTGCCACCACTCAATGAGCTCACGGAGATCCCTGGAGGTACGTATTGTCCTCACACCTACGTACCAAAATCATCTTCTCTTTTGGGGTTGCTTTAGGTATGCATGAATGCAAAGAATTCTGTCTTTCCTTAGTACAAATCACAGTGGTTGCCTTAGCACAGTCATAAAGATTTTGCTTGTGGGACCAATTCGGTAAACACCTCCCTTTTGCATGCAATATACTGAACTTGCAAAATTTGTTGCAGCCAGCATGGCCGTTTAGAAATTAAAAAGTGATTTTTTTTTCCCATTGACACAAATCATCTTTTGAAGCTCATATTTAAAATTTCCTGACCATTTGATTCATGTTAAGCACCAGTTTCTGAGGGGGGTGTCAGCAGGAGGAAAAATAGTTGTTAGAGTTTCACATCCCCAATGAGACGATCAAGAGTATTTCTGCAACTGGCCTCCCCTCCTCTCACTCACCTTTCCTGGTTCTACACCCTAGGCTCTACAGAAAGTCTCCCAACTCTCTCTGGTCATGTCCAGTCCAGACCTCTCAACTCTCTTCCTGTGGTGAAAGAAGAAGATGAAATGGCCCTGCAAGGAAATTAGGGCGACTGCCTTCCCGTCTCTCTGTCTCTTTGGCTTCTCTTTTCTGTGGCTTCCAACAAGATCCATCACGCCTTGGACTCACTGCTTCTCAGTTCCCTTTCTGCGTTTCATCTCTGTTTTCTCAATTCCTTTCTACCAAGATCTTACTCTTTTTTTTTTCTTTTTTTTTAATTCTTTTTTTTCCCTGTTTCCTGTGGCTCTGAAAGCTCTGTGGTCTGTTGATTCATACTAACCTGTATTTTCACTATCTCAGTGATGCTATAGCCATGAAACTAGGGAAAGAGTCATACCAATAACCAGTAAAATTAAACAGCAGTAAAATACAGAAATATATTTTATTTTTAGTATATTTTAGTATATTTTTTCTTACTTATAGCTCAGTATTTCACCAGTGTTTAGCCACCTAACTATACCTATATTATAAACTGAAGGCGACCAGACCATTCTTGGGATCTAAACACAACTGGCAAGAATAAGTCTTTGTCCATACTGTTAAATTGTGTTAACCTGCAAAGCAGAATGAAGGTATTGAAATGCCATGCTGGAAATAGTCACTTGAATAGCTTCATGGTAGTAATTTTCATATACCTATAGCAGTCAGTGGAGCTGTTACAAGTACTTTACCCCAGTCTGATCCTCCTTTAAAGGTTAACCTGTCAAAGTCATAAGTCATCCAAAGGTCTAGTCAACACACTCTTACTTGTATGAGCAATCACACATGGAAGTGAAGGACCATCTATCAATGGATTCTACAGAGAGTGAAGATCTGGCTCATGTCTTTAGATAGCAGAAAGTCAAATTAACCCATTTACGACTGTGTCCTCTTCCTGACTAGCTATTACATCTGGGTAGCCTATCAAATAAGAATCAAAATATCCCAAAGATGTAGAAAAGGTAATTGGCAAGGAGGATGATAGTTCTGCCCCAGAGGGCTAATGCATTTTGAACCCCTGTAGGCATCCTTCACATTCTACAAACTTGTTTCACATCTACAAACAAACTTGTTTGTAGAATGTGAACATTGTCTGGAATGTGAACATTGTGTGGAAAATTGTCTGTTTTGGCATGGATTTAATTTAAAGTATTTTATTGTGGACCTGTGAACAAGTTACCAAAGCAAAGCAGTTTTTGAGAAGTCAGCTGCACCATAATGACTACCTAAACACCCACTCCATGAAATGCGTGGGTTGCATAGCTGACTCTCTTTGAACTTGTGAAAGACCTTAAACTATGGATCTGAGAAGCTGCAGGGAGGAAGTCCGATGGATAACAAGTTGCTGAGTGGCTACTGAATGGCTTCTGAATACACACCAACTGGAGTTATCTGGTTCTTCATGAAAGAGAAGTAAATCTTAGAACAAGAGTCTGCCTAAGCCACTCTGAAGGAACTGATACCACCAATACCATGTGGGATTTATCTATCCACAAGCACTCTATGCCTATAGATAGAGATATCTGCATCAGAGCTAGTTCTCTAGACCATTTTTATCTATAGTGATAAGAAAACAGGATTCTCAAGGATGTGGCTAATTTCATGGTAAGGGGGGAGTGCTAAAATAAAATAGACAAACTATGCCTTAAAAGTGCCTCTTTGTCTCCAATGACCCTAAATAAGAATCCTAACCTCTAAATGTTAGATGCAAAAACTTTATATGATTGAATTCACTGGTTTGGCTTCCTTCTGAGATTAGTCTGATAGATGTCCCCAAAAGGGTTTCACTTCATAAATCAGGCATTTGCAATGGGAAGTGTACAAACTTGGGAATTTCTTCACTGTGCTACTGTTTGCAGCTGTACAGACTGTAATATTCTGCCAGGTAACCTCACTGGCATTTATGAACCCGCCTTAGTTTACATATTAATGAAATATAATTATGTATATCTGCTGACTATTTATATATTTACGCAGTAACAAACCCTGGTAGTTGCAGTCAAGGCTGGAAAGATAACTTGGGCAATTTCAGTTACTGAATGACTATTAAATACTTTAAAGATTTCTGAGTCTAATGATGAATGCATTATAATGTCTAAATACTTTAAAGATTTCTGAGTCTAATGATGAATGCATTATAATGTCTAAACACTTTTATTTCTTGGTATTTTTGATTCCAGCCCTCATTTACTCTGATGCAATATTCTAAATGCCTGGTAGTTCGCTATGCGCTGAGTGTCACATAGAGCAACATATTCTTCTGAATACAAATAAAATGGACTTTAGGGTTCTGTGTATAAAATACTATGTACAATTTCCTTCTTTCTTTTTTATCTCCCATTTTGAGTGATAAATACAGACAGGACCTGGCCCTTGCTCTGAACAGAGAGGTGCTGTTTGGGTCCATGGTTTGGAAGATTTTAGTTCACATGGTCCCTGCTGCTTTCCTCTAGGAAGTAAACACTCTATTTATTTATTTATTTATCTATCTATCTATTTATTTAATTATTTATTTTTCTCTTTGTCTCATGAGAGGTGTCAGGACTTCCCCTGCAACTGTCAGGGTCTCCATTATTCCCACTTCTATTTGTACATGCAAAGGAATTTCCAGCTTCCAAGACTGAAGGATGATATTTCATATTCATGTGGAAATATTTTAGACAAACATAAGAAATTCAGGCTTGATCCTTCCATGTAATACACCGATGCAATCTGAATATGATGCTATAGCGATCTATAGCAACGGGAGTTACAGATATGCTAAAGCAAAGTAGATGACAGAGGTTCTAGGTGAGGGCTGAAACCTCTCACTGAAGGATCACAGCAAATTACTGCCCCAGCCAGGTAACTGCCATGTTTAATGTTAGGCTAAACAATCATAAAGTAACTTAAATTAGCCTAGGCATCAACTGAATAAAGCTAAACAATGACCCATCATTCTCCATTCACTGAAGGCACTCACAGATTGTGCAACATTTTGGCTAAGATTAACTACTCAACAATGGTAGCGTGGTTATCTGTGCACCTATCTCACTTCTGTAATGGGGATTTTCAATGAGGTAGTGGAGGGAAACTTAACACATTTTCACATGCTTTTGCACAACTTTATGCCCTGCTGGTCTTGAGCAGAGGAAAAACTTTCCATGAGAAAATACATGAATCTGATCTGCATTTGATTGTCGTGTTGCAGCTTGAATTGAGAAAACAGCTTTTAGCTTAGAAATTCTTCTGACTACCAATTTTTATTAAAAACAAACAAACAAACAAAAGCGTAAGAAATATAGTTTTTCTCTTTCAAAATTCTTATTCAAAATAATTGAAATCTTCAGAGCCAGATCTCTCTGACTAAAAGGCCAAAAAGTTTTACGTAGAGATGTTACAAGCGTCCTATATCTACTGTATCTATCTTGTGTGTTAAAAGACAATAAAACAGAACCAAATCTACACTAGGATTGAAAGCTATAGAAATATGGCATTAATTACAGTAATTAAACTGTCATTAATTACAGTATCAGAATCTAGATCTGGGACAGGACATAAGCAAAGCCTATACTATAGCACTGAGTGGGGAAGGCCATGTTCTACTTGTCTGTGAGCAAAGATTCCCAGCAAAATCCCAACCATCCATCTGAATACCAAATAAATAAATACATAAATAAACAAACAAACAAGCAAGGGAAGTATTGAATTACATGAGAAGTGTTTCTGTTCCTTCTCCTGGAAGACAGCTCCACACTGATTGTCATTTGGTGGAAATGCTTATGGACTATGCTCATAATCTCCATGAACCTTTTCCTAACAAGAGGACACAATATCCTTCACAGAGCCACAATCTGGCTCTTGAAATTACTCTTTCTGCTTTATCTCATTAGTCTATCTTCTCAAAACAAAGGTATGAAAATGTGCTGATTAATGAGCAAAAGTACTGTATGAACAAATTCCCAGCTTTTCCTTTTCCTTTTTTCCAAAATTTGCATGCAGGGAGCAATTTTGTCCCTGGATAATATCTTCACATAGTAACTGCCTTCCTATTTTTTTTTTCTCTCTCTTTTTTTTTTTAATCTCACATACAGCTCAGGTGGCAGAAGAAAAAAAAGAAGAAGTTCCCACTGTATCTGGAAAAGTGGACAAGTCACAGGGCAAGAAAGATGGCTCCAAAGACTCCAAGAAGAAGGATGGCGAAAAGGACCAGAAAGAAGGATCCAAAAAGGAAGGGAAGGATGGGGCCAAGAAGAAAGAAGGAGAAAAAGGCGCTGGTGACAAGAAACAAGGTGGTGGAAAGAAAGGTGAAAAAGAAGCGGAAGCGGCAAAGTCAGGAGGAAGCACCAAAACTAATGGCAAAGCTGGTGGGAATGCCAGCACCAAAACCAATGGCAAAGCTGGTGGGAATGCCAAAGCTGCAGCAAAGAAGAAGTGACAAGTGCAGATTTCACCTGACTTGCAGCAGGCAAGGGTACTGTCAAATTGCTGTGGGTAAAGGACAGGGATAGGACATTCTCCCTCCATATATTTAGGTTGCTGAGTGCCACTGGGTGTACAGTATTTATTATATTTTAAAGACCATATCACTGTTCTGGGGGGGGTTTCTTTTTTTCTTTCCCTCCACCAAAGGAAAACTCGACCGTGCAGTACCTTGTGAATAAAATTTACTGTATATTACAACAGTAACTGGAAGCAAACTGAATCCTGGTGTGCAACCAGGACTTTTGATAAGTATTATACTGCACGGAGGTGAAGACCTAAACAAGTGAGAGGACACGGTTCATTTACAATATGTTCTTCTTAAGGACCTCATGTTTTTTGATATACACTAATTGGCATTCATCTCCTCCTAAGAGGAGATCTCCTCCTATTTTCACATGTATTTCTGTAATTTCTATATGGTAAAGCCTAGGGAATGAGGAATCCAGCACATTTCAAAATCATAAGTTATGTAGTTCCTGAGAGATGTCTTGGATACATGGGAGAGATGCAAGGATGCAAGGAAGGAGGAAGCAAGGATGGGAGAGATGTTCACAACCCACAGAAATACTTACCAATATTCTATATTCTGTACTCAGTTCACTGCCTCCAAGGTTGATTTGTCCTCCTAGAGGAATTTGGAGAATTAGGGATGCAACATTAGGGATGTGAGAAATTCTGCCCATATTTACTGACAAATGATGTGAGCCTTAAACCTCCATCAGCTGCACTGATATCCAAAATGCATGTGAGCATATACATTATAAACAACTATATGTAGATGCCTGAATCACAGCCCCACACCTATTTTTTCAATACGTAAAAGTGAGTTAAAATAGTGGGAATTAAAATTTCCAGGGAGGAGGGTAAGACCTGGTTTGAGGTGCAGAGAATGGATCACAGCTCCTGCAATTGCTCCTTATGTTCCTTGGACTGGGAGAAGGTAAGCTCCCATCCCACCTCCTTTGCAACCCACAGACTGGAAAATAGAGATCTTTTAACCTCACAAGAAAAAGAGACCAAATAACTTAACTGGAGTAACACTATAAATCAGTATCAGAACAAAAACTTAGCCCAAACCTGATGAACTCCAGACCTTAAGAGCATCCCTCTGTGAGCAATGTTCCCTGACTCTGTCTCCATCACCCTGTACCTCATCAGACACATGCACTGAGGTCCTTGCTGTCCCATCAGTTACTCTGTACACTTAGCTTCTTGTGCTCAAATGTGGCTTTCACTTCACTTGATAAAAAGGGAACTCTGGCAAGGAGGAGCACCCACAGAAGAGTGATATAAAAGCCGTGGAGCTAACTCAACAACGTGTCAGTGCACAAGGACACATCCTTACTTTAGGGAGCTGCAGAGACTCCTAGTGCCAGAGCTGATCAAAACACACTGGTTCTAATATAAAAAAGATACCAGTTCAGACATTATGTTTCAGTCATATGCAGTATTTTCCTGTTCACTCCCTGTTTAATTTATTCCTTTTATACAACATCAGAAAAAAAAAAAAAAGAAATAATAATAAAAAAAATACATTCAGACCAGGCCATACTCTTTGCTACTCCCCTGGAAGTGCAGAAGCTTGCATGAGCTTGCTGTCTAGCATATCATGTATTTTGAGCATTTGTCTGAATGTTAATGTCATGTAAAATCTACTTCCTGAGTGAAACATCTGTAGGGTGAGATCCAGCTGTGAAGTGGCCAGAAAAGACTGTTTCTGGGTCTTGGGATTGGAAGATATTGCACGGTGATGTGCTGTCATATTGCATGCAGTTAGGTGCTTTCTGTTAATGTTACTTTTGATCTGCAGAATGTGGATTCTGACTCTTATTCCCCCAATCTGCACCTATTTTGTAAGATGGAAGAGGAGCAGATATGCACATGGTCTGAAAGCTCCAGTGATGAAAATTTCTCCCTTCACTTCTTCATTAATCTCATTATCACAGAGCAAGATAGCTTTTTCCTTAACCCTTTTCCCAAAGACTCTGCCAAAATAAAATAAATCAAACTAAAATAAATTAAATAATAAATAAATAAATGCTGCATCTGGGACTTCTGGAGTCTTTGCAACAAATCCGAATCAATTTCTGTCAGGATCAGACATAAAACACTTTCAAAGTCCTAAACATTGTGCCATATCAGTTTGCATTCTTAGCTACTGAAACAAGTGCAGTGTTAATTTTGAAAGAAATCTTTCTCCTTTGATAAAGACCAAACAAGAGTCACCTGGAGGGTGTAAATGAACTTGGGTCTTACTCACTGGAGTGAGTGGAGTGTGGGTGTAGTGATGGGAATCCCTTACTGGGGGCTTTTGGGAAAACATCCTAGCTATCTTAGCTTGTATTACGGTGATCAGGTGGAAGCTGAATGCCAGCTTCCACTGGGTGTAAAATATTATTTCTACAGTGTCACACATTGGCCAACTCAATTGACCAGCTCAAGAGCTGTTCCTTGCACCCCACGATGGAGAAATTGCATTGGGAAACACTGCGTGCACAGCTGAAGCTTTGCAAAATGAGTTGTTATTGTCACAATTGGAGATGTGCTGAATGCTCTGCAAAGCTAAGCGGGACAGCAAATCTTGCAAAAATCTTACCAAAAGCAGGATTTACGACCCAAAGCTCAGGCATCCAGATAGTAACAATTTATCTTTTCCTTTATTTGATGGGCTTGGCAGTGCGTGTGTGGGAAGGAATTAAATTAATTAATTAAGTTAATTAAATTAAATTAAAATTTTAATTGGAGGAATTAAAGTTAAATATTACAGAGTCAGGATGAAAAACTGTCCACAACCGACTAATCTATTCCATAGTTTTCCACTAGAGGGGACCCTGTTCTTCCTCTGTAATATCTGAACCTGATTTTAAAGGTAGGCCCAGCTGAGAGGTTTTATCTTATTCATGCCATTAAACAAAACCTGACTTTGGTTATATTTACCCTTCTAAAGAAGACTCAGGTGATATCAGTTGACTGCTTGAGCCATCACCCTTCTCATATACTAGACTTTTTAACTTGTTAATAGAAGTAAGGGTGAAGTTGACATTACCTTAATGTCCCAAGAGCATCACTGATGCAAGAGCCATCAGAAAAAATAATACTTGGCTTTGGTGGATAAAGCTTAAGTTGGCAGAATTAGGTGTCTCCAAAGGGTTGCTGCGAGGATCATGAATTTGGATGAGGAGGCTGATAGGAGGGGCTGGAGACACTGGGTTTGCTTTAGTTTCATTTCTGCTTCCTTTGAAGTCCGGAACAAGCTGCAGGCAGGTTTATTACCCTCCATTTCCGCAATGGCTTTGCTTTTAGTATTAATAAAAAGCAGTTAAAAAATAAAATAAAATAAAATAAAATAAAATAAAATAAAATAAAATAAAATAAAATAAAATAAAATAAAATAAAATAAAATAAAATAAAATAGTATCTGAATTGATCTGCCAGGAGATACTTCACATAAAGTTTATCTGTTGCCAGGAAATGTTGTGATACTTTTTCACCATTAAATCCCAGCTTCTTTTGAAGAATGAAACTCCGTGGAGTACTTATAGCAGCACCAGAGACTTTTGGAGTGAAAAGATGGATTTTTTTTTTTAATTTACATGTACATATGTAGTGTATTAAATTAACATGTACATATAACCACAAGAACTGTTTTTTTGGGTTTTTTTGTGTTTGTTGTTTGTTTTGTTTGTTTTTTGTTTTGTTTGTTTTATTGCTTCCATAATCTTGATCTGATATTAACAGTGTCTTAACTCTGTCTTCAAAAAGTAAACTCATGAGGTCCACCTCCTTTTGACATATAACAAGGAAGCCATGTATGTTGAATCATATATGTTGCCTCGATCACCCAATGAAGCCCTTAGAGAGCAAGTGTTCCCCTTCCCAACAGGATGTATGTGGAGTCCCAAACTTAAGGTGGACCATAGCAAAGCAGAGATGTTCAAATCAGGGATTTGGCCTTCCAGTGGCCCAAAAGGAAAACGGAACAACCTCCCCACTCCCAACGCCCATTTTATCTATCTATCTATCTATCTATCTATCTATCTATCTATCTATCTATGTATTTATTGGTGCTGTTGTTTTTTGGTTTTTTTTTTTTTTTTTTTTTTTTGGAACCAGTGATGGATCTCTTCACCATCATAGGTCATTTTGATATTACTGTCTTGGCTGACTGGTTTCAAAGAGGTCATGATTTGCGTGCTTTAAAAAGAAAAGGTAATCTTAAAAAAATAGAATTGAAAAATCTCTTTTCCCTCTCTTTTTTTCTCTCCTTTGCTGTGATCAGGAGCCCCATGAGCCTCTTCCAGCAAATGCATCAACAAGCTAAGCACACCCACCTAATCTATAACACCACAAACACCAAGGTGTGTCAGAGATACATCAGGCAACAACTGTGAGATAACTCTGAGCCTCTCCTGCTTCGGGTTTCATATGACATTTCACATGATGCTGCCCACATTTTTCCACATAGACCTGAGAAACTCTTACGATCCTAATCATTTTGGTGAAACAGAATGCGTCTTTTTCATTTGTTGTGTCCCTGATGCACTGAGTCTGGACTCCTGCAGACTGAGAAGTGTCACGCAGGGTAACTGGGGCACAAAAGGCAATCTGCTTAATGTCACAAGCCAGGCCTGGGACAATGGATGGGACCTGGGCACTCGTCTTGTGAAACAGTTCTTTGTGCACTTTTGCTTCTTAAGATGCTCCAGAGATTTAATCTATAATAATAGTGGTGAAGTCTCCCTGAACTTCCCTATCTTCTCTTACCATAAAACTGCCTGTCAAAAAAAAAAAAAAAAAAAAAAAACCACACAAAAAAAAAACCCTTATTTCCAGGGAGGTCATAGTATACAATAGAATTCTTCCCATTTAAGACATTTTCACTTAAAATCTGCTGCTGAGGAGCTGAAGAGGTGATAAAGTGTCCTGGAGGAATGCTTTGCTCTAAGAAAAGAG